ACACTCAGTTGATGAGTCCCAGGTAGGACGAAATGCGTGGTGATGCATTCTACTGTTGCACATCACCAAGTAAAATATACAGAGAAATAACTGATTCACCAAGTAGTTACATTTTATCAAGATTACTTCAGTCAGAAGTTGCATTCAGTCAACAAAGAGCTGAGAGGAGAAAAATAAATAAACATCTGTTTCTAACTAGACTTTTATGTGTCCACCATGTAGGTAGTCGAAAATCTATAGCAGTATATAGATGGGTTTTTCTAAAATAGTATTTCACCCCTGCTTTACTTAATTGTTAGCTAATTGACCACGTTTTGTAGTTTAGTTTGTTATTAAGTCTCACTGATATCCACTGTTATCGATAATTATATTTCGCTCAATTTGAACTTAACCAGTTAAACTGATTAAGCCCCAGTGTTCGAATTCCAAACACTCCCTCTACGAAATAAACTAATAATTAGCAGTAGAATTTTCAACATGATTGTGATCCTTCAGAAGTGAATAATCTATGGCAAGTATTCATTATAGCAACCTTGATAGCCTTAGTAATTTCAAAGATGAATAAATGTTTCAAATAGATAGACAGACCAAATTTATTTCAACAAACACACTCATAAGCTGTAGTTCAGCCGGCCGTATTGCAAAGGATGATATGAAAGATAAAAGAAGTAGGAATGTATCAAAGAAATTAGGAACATGTAAGAAATGGGGGTGAATAAGCAAAGATTAATGGGTTTGCATAATATCAAAGCTGATTATTTTAAGACTGTAGTCTATGTTTAGGGGCCAAAAAGTAAAATAATGATGTATAGCTTAAGTGTGTACAAAAGTGAGTGAAGTAACTGGCACCTTAGTTCACGACATTATTCCATTAGCTCACTGTCATCAATTGATAACTGTTCCACCGCCCAAAATAAATGAGATCACAAGGCTGAATTTCTAGCTCACTAACTCTCTCTCTCTCTCTCTCTCTCTCTCTCTCTCTCTCTCTCTCTCTCTCTCTCTCTCTCAATTCGTTAAGGGTAATATAAAGGTTAAGAGGTAGTTAATAAATTCGTTTCAGTGGGAATAATAATATAAATTCATCTGCTCTATCTGGTAAACAAGAAATATCTGCATGCTACTATAGGTGATTTTGAATTATGTCATTCAAGGTATCCAAATATTGTGTAATAAAATCTCGAAGAATCTATCCGACGTAACCTACATAAAGATTCTTTAATAATTTCATTTAATACAGAAGTTAACACTTGATAAAATGTAATTAGCTTTTTAAGAAAACATATGTATGATCCACTGTGTCCATTGAATTGTAGTTGAAAATTAGGGATAGACACATAGGTCTTCAATATTAGCAGTCATCTAACTTTCAGAAGGGAAAACGTTACAAAGAAACAGTTATTCAAAACATTTTCTCCCAAGATACAAATCTAGAAAAAGGAACGAATGAGAAAGAAAAGTATTTTAATCAAATTTGTTTTTACCAGCCTACATTCACCTTTATCATTTCTATTTTATCAAGACTTGTTTTTGACTGTCAGTGAATTTCCTTCAATGAACCTTATTTCTAGTATCATGGTTAGTACTTTTAGTTTTTTTTCATTATGAAATAGCTTTTGTGTGTCCCTTAGATCTACACTGTAGTAAAATCTATTAATTATTCATAAAGCAACCTGTATTTGTGGAAGCCCCGATCAATCTTTACCAAGGTTCATATACACTAAATGTACTGTTTAGAATTAAACAACCCAGCTTTAAACTATTTAGTTTTCACCGCTTGTGTCAACATTATGATTTTTAAGGTTATATTCATCACAGACCTTTATCAACTGGAGAGTCACCGAAAACCGGGAAGCACTGCTCAACTGCTTCATACCAGCAGTACGTACCCATAACCCTACCGGGGTTCGAACCCAGGACGATCAGGTTGTGTCAAATCGCCAATTGACAGGAGTGGGAATATGTGGACCATTGGATTTCAAAATAGTGGCTGGCTGGTGGATAGACTTGTCGATAAGAATAAACAGATATTCATTGCTCCCAGGTTTTCAATGATCCTCCGACTGATGAGGAATCCCCAGGAGCCGCCAAAATTATTGATAGTTAAAAACTGTCCGGTTGCAGTGCTGTAATGTGGAACAGAGTAAGGTAGCATAGACTACTGATTTATATATTCAACTGGCCACAAATAATAACTTTTGTGCTGGACATGAAAACAATGGAAAAACTGCACAAACCAAAAAAATACTACCAAACCTTAACGTGTAGATTGAAGAGGTTGACTGCCTTCATTTTAATTTGTTCTCTAACCGGTGTGCAGCAATGAAAGGTTAAAACACCAACACTGCTGATATAAATAATGCTTTTTCATCTTTGAACTTATAACTTTTTTGTGTTGAATGTAAGTACGTATTTTATCTGAAAAATCATTTTGCAGACTGTTTCAAAGACGGAATATATATAATTTAAACATCAGATATATGGGTAACCATACATCAAAGTATAGGTCTTATTCTGCAGACAGACTTCCATGCATACTTATAGGGTATCACCAGTAGACGAAATTATTCTTCACACTTTAATAAACATGAAGTCAAATGTAATTCATATAACAGGAAGAAACGAATCTATTCCAAATGATTTTGCCACTGTCATATATTCATATTTTATCCACTTTGAAGAAACCATACAATTTTTCTGGACAGTGACAACATACACCATTGAGTGGTGATACTATAGTCAAAGATAATGTGGCTTTTAGGATAAAACTTACTGGTCACATTGCCCAGAGTTGTAGACAAATATCACGTAGATAGAAGTTAATTATAAGGTCGAATGATATTCGGTTTTAGATTAGGAAAAATTTGGACCCTAAATATTCCTTGGTTGGTAGAGTGTACCAATACAAGACAGGTTACAGTGATCTAAACAAACATTTGAAAGTCACTAACACTGATTCGCAGACCGTCATCTTGTCATTACACAAACATTATTACAGTTCGAGTTTCAAATTATCATTGGAGCACGCAAAGTAACTGTATTATTATTATTAGTCATTAGTTATCCCTTGGGTTTCTAGTGCAACATAGGGCTTCAGTAGCACGTCTCCAGTGAACTCTGTACTCTGAAATCTTTTGAACCTGCACAATCACTGCCCACAAGCCCTCATCTCCTCATCGAACGATCTCCTCCATGTCACCCTCAGCTGGGACACCTAACTCGTCGCTTCCCATCAGAGTTCCACTCAAGGGCCTGGCCTGAAGTGTAATGTCCCCAGTCGGCCTTCTGAGTGTATGCCCAATCCATCTCCACTTCCTGCTACTGCATATTTGTTGAGAGATAGCTACTTGGTTGGTTCGCTGACAGCCAGCCAGAGTTCCTTGTTGCTTATTCTTTCTGGCCATCTGATCTGATCTTCAGTAAGGAGCCAGCGTAGGCGGCAGTTGTTGATCAATGTCTGTAGTTTGTTGGAAATGCTTTTCATAACGCGCCAAGTCTCTCAACCATACAGGAGCACTGACTTGACTGACGTTGGTGTTGACAATCCGGATCTTGTTCCACATGCTGAGTGCAGAAGATCTCAACACTGGTTTCAGGCTGATGAACGCCTGTCTCGCTTTTTCGATCCTGGCTGGCTTTGACGTCCTCGTCTGTGCCACCGCCGTCTGTAGTTGAAACAGTGCTTCCTAGATAGGTAGAGGAGGCTACTTCCTTTAAGTTTCCCCCGTTGATGGTGATTGGAGCTTTATGGTGTTGGTGGTGGTGTTGGTTGGGTATCTTCATCACCTCTATCTTCTCTATATTCACCTGAAGTCCCGTCTTTGCTGCCCCTTCTGTCAACTTGTTAGTTTTCGCCTGTAGATCTTCAGGTTTGTGTGTCATTAAACATAAATCATCGGTGGCGAAATCCGAATCTTCTAGGGTCCTGCCATCGGTCCAGTCAGCATATGCCCATCCTCTCGCTCCTCACTGTTTACTGCATGATCCAGTCGACCACAATAAGGAATATCATGGGGGATAGTAGGCAGCCTTGTCCTACTCCTTCCTGTCTCCACTTCAAAAGCATCACTGAGCTTCCCATTGTGAATTACTTGGCTGGCATGTGGTGTCTTCATATAGTTGTTGAATGAGGTTGATAAAGATTTGTGGAACTCCGTAGTGTTGAAGCAGCTTCCAAATTACTTGTCGATCGAGGCTGTCGAAGGCCTTTTCAAAGTCGATGAAGTTGAGGTAGAGGGTCGACTGACATTCTATGCTCTTTTCTATGATGATGCGCAGTGTAGCGTTACGTTTTGGTCCACACATGATTTGTACTTCCTGAATCCAGCCAGACAGCCTGTTCTGGTCGTAGTCTTGAATCCATCGCATTTTTTAGTCTCTGCAGGATGGTGCGGCTTAATATTTTGCTTGGGGTGGACAGCCAAGTAACTTTACTGACCAGAATATAGTGATTTGAACAGCTTTCTTCATTGATATAGTTCAGTGAATACATATTACTTTTGATATCGATTTCAGAGAGACAAAACCAACCCTAGGGTGTGTATCAACATAACTGTTTCGTATCGCTGACTTATGTAAACGGTTTCCGATTAATCGTTTCGATCAGTTTCACATGTCTTTCTTCAGATGATCTGTGTTTGCAAATTACAAATACCACCATATGTTCTAATTGCATGCATGCATAATCAATTGTGATGATCTGTAATGGAGTCAGGAATAAGATTTATTTACTAAGAGCCTAATGCTGTTTCATTCCAGTCTCTTCATTTTGCCGATTAAAAGCGTATTTTGCAATCGTTGTATTGCAATGGAGCACAATGCCTACAAAACTAGTGGGCTGTAATAGGTGGCCGCTACCACTACGGGTATTGATTGTCATTACAGCTTATCTTATATATTAAAGGAGAAAAATAATAGGATTTGACGACAATATAATTTACCAACACTTTATTATGCGTTGTCGCTAAATCAGTATATTTTCTTCGTCTGTATTTTATCAGGAATCATTTTCTGTGGCCAAATCGCATTTTCGAACGTACCGAAATCGTGTACGCAAACAAATTGCAACAAATAATATAATTACAACAGAAACATTAGATGAATTAGTACAGTCATACATAAATATTCATGCCAGTCATTCAGTTGACATATCACTGCTTGTTAAAGATGTGTGCTTAGCTATGGAACGTCGTGTCCCCCGGGTACGTCGTCCATCACATAATCTTGGCTTTGAAATGATTAAAGACTTTCTACATGAAACATGCAAACTTGCCTGGGAGTGTGCTGCGCTGAGTCATCCACTTGATGTTAGCAGACCAGTGTGTGAAAATGAACTGATTGATGAAACAAAGTAAGAAAATGCACTTTGAACACTCTTTTTGACTGTTATTATGAACACTGAATATTTATTTTAAATGTAATAAATCTCGGCTCAGTCATCACCTCACAGAAGGATATTCTAGATAACCTAATCGGTTATGGGCACATGACCTGTTTACCCACTTTTAGTCACTTAAGCTAATACTGAAAAATGATGGAGCAGCTAAAGCCAGAAAAGGCTGATAGTTCCTTGTTACTCATTCATATTGCCTTGAGAGAAATTTAGATAACTAGAATGAAAGTAAAACTTGATTATAACTATAACGAATTGTATTATATTAATTGACCTCTGCCACTAACCCCATCAAGTGGTGATAGGACTGTATTACCCGTTTACGATCTGTAGGAGCCAGATGCATTTTTTTAAAAATGTTTGATATCTATGACAGTCATCTTCAAACGAAGTCAGACTAAGGGAATCAAAACAAGAAACCGTAAAACACAACTGTTTAATGGTTTCTGTTCACTCCTGAGAAAAAGCAAAACCTGAAATCAATTAGCTGATCAGCTCAATGTAATGGATTTGTATAAACAATAATTGAAGACCAATTTTATAACCTATAACCTACGTAATTTAAAAAAAAAACATTCATTGAAACTCATTTGAGTGTTTAGAAATAATGAGAAAAGTAAAAGAGACGAGATAAAAAATATTTGAAAAGCTTTCCATTCCAGTGCTGAGTACATCTTTTGCAATCTCTTAAAAGCTGTTCTCTTAAACATTTTAAAAAAAATACCATCTAATCTTTACCTTGATGACCACATGGATAAAAATTGATAAAAACACCAAATGGAAACGTTACCAAAAGGTTTTGCCTAACACTTAAATTTTTCAACCAACCGCAAACGTTTACAAATCCAGTTTGATCCATGAAAAATAAATCTTATTCTTCTTTTCATTTTAGCAAATCACAATGTACTTTTCTTTAAAAAAGTGTTTCTTAATTATGCTGGTTTACTTATTATTGTTACCTAGTCACTTAATACAGGATGAGTATCAGTTATTTCAGACGGAAATTTCGACGAATTACAATTGTAACTATGTTCAATGAATGCATATTTGTAAATGAAGACTGTGCAGTTATTTACCTATACTTGCAACTCTGCGTTGATTACAAGTGTAAACATATAACAATGAATACCTGTTGCTCGACAGATGGCCTACGTGACTTATAGGACTTTTGGACAACCCTCTGGTGTTAAAAAGGATGGCTGTTGGCCTTCAGGCTCAATAAGAGCATTAACACCCAAAACAGAGGTATGATAATGTGATACGTCCCAAATACAAGTCTTCAATCCCACCACTAGTTACCACAAGCAAATAACACCATCTCATGAATATGTAGAGAGATTACTAAACCTGCAACAACGTATTAGTGTTGATTTCTTAAAATATTGACAAACAAGTGTCTGTCTTCAATATCCCATAGAAAAAATCAGTCTCATGGAAGTCGCAAGTAGTTGTCTTACATTATAAGACAATTTTCAAATGATGAATATGACAATAAAGATGACAGTTGCAATCTATCCCTTATAAAGAATGATTATCTCGGGTTTGCTCCTGTGTGGGTCAACTAGTTCATCTAAGTCTGATATGAATTTCTGTTGGATTTCGAAGTTGTTATCAGTTAGTTTCACTTTGAACATATATATCACTTCTGAATACTTTATTTTAGGTATAGACGTAGTCACGATTCATCGTATCCAACATTACTAATTCATCATCACATATGGCCATGTTTAATGCAGGGAGAACGGATACTTGTGAAAGGAGAAGTTTGTACCAGAGGAACCTCTAACTCTTATGGTTTCGAAGTAATGGTGAGTAAATTTGCAAAACAATTAAGTGTCGTTTGAATTTTGCTTCATAATCAACTTTATTTAAAAACTAGATTCACTGTACATATGTACATGCTGTTGTTTTGATTAATATTGTTGGCGTGTTCATGATTTTAAATGTCACATTAGAACTGACTCAGACTACTTTAAAAGTCATCTGAAATAAACACTGATTTTCACAAAAACAAGCTTTCCTTCTATGAAAATGGGATTCAATTAATTTCTTCCTTTAAAATATGTACAAGGACATCAATCACAGTTCACAGGCGTAGCAGGTGGAGTTACTAAGGTTGCCTTTAAAATTACCCAAGTAACATTGCTGCTGCTAAATCTAACTTATCCACTCCTTTTTAACTGTATACAAACAAGTTAGCTTATAAGTTATTATCACACTACTTTATGCTTAAATGTTTGACCATAGAAATAATCCAGTAACTTGTTGAATCGATGATTTTTGGGGACTCATAAATGTTCAAGCTAGCACCACCAGCTAAAATATCAGAATCAGATCTTTTTTACCGTGACGAAATGACTGATTGTGGTATGGATCACTAAAATAATATTTACTTGAAAAGAAAAACGGAACAGAAAATTCTTTTCAAACTGCAGACTTTAGAAATAAAGCGAAGACAAATGCATTTCATGTTAGGTTAGTTTCTTTGATATACAACACAGTGATACAATGTTGGCTACTGGAGGACATTCTTAGCACAGTCTATTGTTCAATGTCTCACCAAAGTTATCGTATAACTTTTCAATTTCGGTATCTAAAAATTTTTATTCTGTCTGTAACTTGTCTAGTGCGATTACAATTCAATATCTTGATATGCAGTGTGTCAACGCAGAACATCAAGAATAAAATGCAAGACTATATGCTGCTTATGTTTATTCGTCGTTTGTTGAGTGAAAGAAAACCAACACACCACGGTGTGAATGACTACTAATGATGAATCCTAAATGGAAGGAAACCTGTGTTCTGGACTCCACTACCAGCAAATTCTTAATATATGAAAGATATGGAAAACAATATTGGATTATCTCCACAATGAACTTGTATACTGATAGAGACTTTATGTACTTACTTCTGATAGCTTAAAAATGAAAAAGACAATGCATCAGTGTTGATTTTTGAATAAAAGTTTGTCATTTCAACTTAGTATTACTTCACTTAAAATAATTGGTGGCATCCTAGTGTTGAACCAATGGATGTTGAAGTTAAATATAACTTTAAAACATCGAAACTCAGTGAGATACAGGTATATACAGCAAGCTAGTCATCAACGGAAGTGTTATTTTGTTTTTTAAAAACTACTACCACACTTCGTTTTCATCAGTTTACTACCTGGAGGTAATTTAATGTCTTCAATGAAGAGATTTATGGGAATTTATTTTCATTTATGAATCTATTGTTTAATTCTAGTCATCAGACAACCGAAGAGTACCAGACCGTTGTCGTAATCGTTTGTACTCTCGTTCATGTTCGCCAGTACGTCCAACTACATCTCCAGGTAAGACGTATTTCTGTGTCAATGTCTTATATTGTCTGGGGATAGAATTTTCATTTTATGTATGCGTCATTTCAATTTTAGTTGCCGTTGTGTTCACATGAGTCACTTTAAGCCGTACAGTTGACACTACAATGACTACAATATTTCTCGACAGAGATTTGAAAATAAAAATGGCTTTGATTATTTATTAGCATGCACTGACACACGGATTGAAAACACAAACTGTCAGATAGCTGATGTTTGTTTGAATGGTAGTAAAACATGCCAATGGGCCTGTTCAAAAATTTGATCTCAGATAAAACTGCACAGAATAAATAGCAACATATTATTTCGACATAGACAGATAGTAAGTTTTCTGTTCCAATCATATATAACTGTTTGTCTTTCAGTGACTCCAACTAGTATTTATTTGCAGATTTTAAGTCCTTTTTAATTCTATATTGGATTAGTTTATTAGGTACACAGTACAGTGATACAGTATTATTCACTTGATGACGTTTCGAGCATGAATTATTACAAATAATCATACCGATGTAGTCGCATCACTTTCGATATCGGATTTTTATAGCTCTGTCACTGCATATTCTTTGTTTTTATTGGTAGTAAGACTTTCCATAACTCCGGCAAAGGTGTTACGTCATTCCTGTGCCATGTACAGTGTGTTGGTTCGATGAACAAAGATTCAGTAATCAGTCTCTCTCCCTCCACCTAATTACATTGGAGTTAAGTATTGTGAGAACCTCGCCTGGTTAACTAATTCACTAGTTACAAGCCGGTCCTAAGCCCGGGTAAAGGGGGAAGGTTGGGCACACGGCTAGCAACCCTACCCCGTAAAACAAATCTAACCGCTAAAGAAACTTCAAAGCACAAACAAAATATAAAAAATAATAACAAAATTATTCCTCGCTGGAATCGGAGAGGCGAAATGACGCCAGTTGGTGAAAGCCTTCGAGAAGCCAATTGGCCGGACCGATGTGTCTTCTCTCCCTCGATGAAAGCAAAAGTAAACGTGGGGACATGGAATGTCCGTACGATGTTTGAACCCAGTAAGGCAGCACACATTGCAAACGAGATGAGAAGGTATCACATCGAAGTGCTTGGGATTTGCGAAAGCAGATGGAATGGGAGTGGACTCTCCAAACTGTCAACTGGAGAATCAATAATCTACTCCGGTATTGTAACCCAGACGACAACCACGAGCACACTGAGTTTTGGAGTGGCTATCATGATGTCCCCAACAGCATCGAAGGCTCTCATGCAGTGGGAACCAATCTCCTCCAAGATCAGGGTCATGACAACAAGATTCAACTCAAAAGGAAGGAAGGTCACAATCAAACAATGCTATGCTATGCACCTACAAATAATGCAGAGCAAGAGAAAAAGGAGGAATTCTACAGACAACTTCAATCAACACTGGACAAGACCACAACCCAGTTGGCGATATCAAAATTCTAATGGGTGGGGCGACATGAATGCCAAACTGGGAGGGGACAACACGGGAAGGGAACTAACCATGGGTCGAGAGGCGCTAGGTGAAATGAATGAGAATGGAGAATTGTTTGCAGAATTCTGCGCATTCAACGATTTGGTGATTGGAGGCAGTGTGTTCAGGCACGAAGATATCCACAAAGCGAGTGACATGGATTTCACCAGACACCACGACACACTAAAAATCAAATCGACTTTATCTCAATCTCAAGAAAATGGAGACGCAGTCTACTTACACAAGGTCAAGAAGAGGAGCAGATGTAGGTTCACACCACTCACCATCTAGTGCAAGGAACCTTCCAAATCAAGTTAAAAGCCTTCAAGGAAGTTGGTGATAGACCTCAATTCAAGTACAACACTGGGAAACTGAACTGAAGGATGAAACTACAAAGGAGATCTTCACAGCAGCCATCAAGACAAAATGGGAGATATCAAGGAACATCCCTGAAGAAACCTGTGTGGAAGGACACTGGAAGTCTTTGAAAGCTATGTGGAAAGAAACCTGCACAGCCGTATTAGGAAGGAAGAAGAAAGAATACAAGGAATGGATCTCGACGGATACCTGGAAGCTGATAGATGAGGGAGAGGAGGATGGTGAAACAGAAGATAAACCAGTGCAAGGAAGCTCAACGACAAGAGGAACTGAGCACAATGTATAAAACACTGGACAAAGAAGTGAAGAAGAGTGCACGCAATGACAAAAGACACTTCTACGAAACACTGGCAAGTGAAGTAGAACAGGCTGCAGGTGAGAGAGACCTGACGACATTGTATCAAACAACCAGGTTGCTATCAGGGAAGAGATCAACAGAGATAAAACCAATAAAAGATGATGACGGAAATCTAATTACGAAAGAAGAGAAACAAAGGAAACAATGGGCTGACCGCTTGAAGAAGCTCTTGAACTGACCATCACCTGCACTTCGTCCGAAAATACCACCTGCAGCCACAGAACTACAAGTGAACATAAATCCTCCAACAAAAATGGAAGTCCTGAGCGTTATAAAGCTACTGAAATGTGGGAAAGCAGCAGGACCAGACGGGATACCGCCAGAAATACTGAGAACAGACGCAGAGACAACAGCAGAGATGCTCACACCACTATTGCAGAAGGTGTGGAAGGAAGAGAAGGTACCTGGCGATTGAAGAAGGGTTACCTTGTCAAACTGCCGAAGAAGGGAGACCTCAGTGTTTGCAAGAACTGGTGCGGAATCAGGCTCCACTCCTGTCCACCCGGAGCAAGCAAAATATTAAGCCGATGACTTGTGTCTGATGTCACACAAACTTGAGGATCTACAGGCAAAAACTAACAAGTTGACAGAAGAGGCAGCCAAGACGGGACTTCAGGTGAATATAGAGAAGACAGAGGTAATGAAGATACCGCACCACCACCAACAACAACAAACTCCAATCACCGTCAACGGGAGAAACTTGAAGTAAGTAACCTCCTTCACTTATCTAGGAAGCACTGTTTCAATTACAGGCGGGACGGACGAGGACATCAAAGTCAGAATTGGAAAAGCAAGACAGGCGTTCATTAGCCTGAAACCAGTGTAGAGATCTTCTGCAGTCAGCATGTGGAACAAGATACGGATCTTCAACACCAACGTCAAGTCAGTGCTTCTGTATGGTTCAGAGACTTGGCGCGTTATGAAAGGGATTTCCAATATACTACAGACATTCATCAACAACTGCTTACGCTCGCTACTGAAGATCGGATCCGATGGCCAGAAAGAATAAGCAACAAGGAACTCTGGGAACGAACCAACCAAGAACCTATCACACAACAAATATGCAGGAGGAAGTGGAGATGGATTGGCCATGCCACTGAGAAGGCCGACTGAGGACACCACGCGTCAGGCCCTCAAGTGGAATCCCTATGGGAAGCGACGAGTTTGACGTCTGAGGGTGACATGGAGGAGGTCGTGCGAGGAGGAAATGAGAGCTTCTGGGCTGTCGTGGAACCAGGTTCAAAAGATCTCAGAGAACAGAGGTCACTGGAGATGTGCTGCTGAAGCCCTATGTTCCACTAGGAACCCAAGGGACTAATAATAATAAGTATTGTGAGTGCTTTTGTCCCACCCTGTTGTGTGGTTGTGTTAATGTATGCATTGCAATAGTCGAGTCTTTTCTAGATTATTGATCTGATTGGCGTGTATCATTAGATATTTAACCGAATTCCTATGTTTTGCTAATATGAATGACCACGACCAGCTAGTTTGCCCTATGTACTCGACCTCACAGTCATTGCATGGAATTTGGTAGATTAGATTATTTTGCTGAATTGGATCTGTCGGATCCTTAAGGTGACGAAGCTTATTTCTGAGTGGGTTTGTAGGTTTAAATGCCAACTTAATTCCAGTCATGGTGAGAACACTACGTAAAGTTCCTGATGTTCCTTCATTATATGGTAACAGACTAGAGGCTTTGAACTTATTTCTCCTCGTGTTGTCGCAATTGTTCATATTCGTATTACTGTTATTATTTCGTTTCTTGTGTCCGCATAAATTTCTTAAAAAAAATAGAGAATAATTATTAATTACTAGTGCTTTTTTATGTTTCAATTTCTTGTTTCAGTCCTTGCACTAGCTGGTGATTTTCTTAGCTCTATCATTTAGACACCTGACTGAACCCGCCTTAACTGATGTTGGATGAGACGACATGAAGTCCAGATACCTGCGAGAATCTGTCGGTTCCCTGTAGCGGCAGTATCCAAACCGCCGTCTGTCCGTTTTTTTACTTTGCAGTCCAATATAGCTAATTCTGCTTGTTCATTTTCTACCTCGTAATTGAGTTTGATTACGGCTACTACTGAATTTATATGCGTGAGGAAATTGTTGAAGTATTCTGATTTCAACACAGTAAATGTGTCATCTACGTATGGCTACCCTCTTGCATAGTAAAACGACAGACAGACGGTGGTTTGGTCAGATATCTGAATGATAAATATTTATGCGGGCACAACCACACAATAGGGTGGGACAAAAGCACTCACAATACTTAACTCCAATGTAATTAGGTGGAGGGAGAGAGACTGATTACTGAATCTTTGTTCATCGAACCAACACACTGTACATGGCACAGGAATGACGTAACACCTTTGCCGGAGTTATGGAAAGTCTTACTACCAATAAAAACAAAGAATATGCAGTGACAGAGCTATAAAAATCCGATATCGAAAGTGATGCGACTACATCGGTATGATTATTTGTAATAATTCATGCTCGAAACGTCATCAAGTGAATAATACTGTATCACTGTACTGTGTATCTAATAAACTAATCCAATATAGAATTAAAAAGGACTTACTTGGATGTTTCACCACTAGACCAGGAACTTCATCAGCCATACTTATGTAAGCGAAATAGATGGTTGGTACCTAGTTGATATGGTATGCTGTCAATCTTCGTTAAACAGATATATCTATACCACACCTCAATTTAATTTTCGAAAATTTTATCTTCACTCCATTATCTCGTTACAAAACCGCCTAACCCTCCATTGAAGCCCAT